ATTCCTTAGAAGAACGACTCGCTCTCAGCAGTTCGGGTTTCGGGTTTACCATTCAGCTGGTCTTCTTTGGATTCTGTACATCTCCCCGTTTTCGTTGAGTTGATTTTCAAATATAATTCAGTTTTCACTTTAAAAAATTTCATATTATTATCAAAAATAATAATGAAATTAGGAAGACTCCTGAGCATTCTGGCAGCATCGCGGATGACCTACTCGACGACCAACACCTCTCGAGTGTATCACAAGAGGATTCGTATGGTGTGCGTATGTGTATTTGTAGGTCACTTGAGGGAGTTATGGTAGGGGTAAATAAAGAGGAATTGCAAAAGACTATTAATCTGTTGATTGATCATAAAATAGCTGCTGAATTGAAAGTGAGAAAAAAGATACGTTTATGGGAAAAAATCTTCGCTGTGCGCAATCAGGGAGTTCAGGAAGAGAACGCCAGACTACGGGAGGAGCTCGATGACAATCGAAGGTATCTTAGGTTGCCGCGTGCAAGATTCAAAGTAGGTCCGAAAATGTACCATATTTTTCTCAGGGCATTTGAGGAAGACTCCAAATCTCGACGACTTTACTACTTGACCGAGTCGAAGCAAACTGATGTGGTCACTGGTCAGCTCACGAGTACGATGTGGAGGATCCTCACTGGAGCTATGATCATGTTCATGCAGGTGAGAACAAGGATTCATTTAGTTCCTCCCAGGGTGTTTATGTTATGACATTTACATGGAAAACTGATTGAAGAATTATGTGTTCCTCGCCATACGTGGAAAATTAAAAATGAAATCTCCTCCGAAAACACTAGTGAAAAAACACATTTCACGACTACTGCATATCGCGCGTTTTTCACAGAGTTTTACGCCACTTCACGTAAAACGGATCGTGAAACACTCTATTACATATCACTGAATATTTCTATTGCCATATCTAGGAACTGCTATCGCCTTGAGAAAATAACGTTCCCAGGCTTTGAAAACAATGAGGAAACATTTTCCTATTTGAAAAATGTGGGAAATTCAAAACTAGTCCCCCCATCACCCGTACCACTCCTCTGCCAACTCATCAGGCCGGGTTTGCAATGCTGGAGGCCGGCTCCGTACGCGTCTACAATGTCCAGGCCATCCTCATGAAGAATCTACTAGATCTATGCATAAGTAGAATCACATAAAAAGTAACCCCAAGGATTCGCTTCTCGCAGGTCCAATCGTATGGTGGATCATGGGGTGGGGTCTTGCGTTTGGCTACGTCGTCGATCCTCTTACTGGAGAGCTCACTAGTGGCACTGAATTCAGCGGTGGGTGGCAGTGTTTGCGAAATATATATTTGACCTCCTCAGCTGAGTATATAAGTTCGCATAAACTGATGAGAAATTTCCATATTGTCACTAAAAAATGTATTACTACTTCGGTAATTTTCAGGTGGCAGTGGTTATGCTGGTACGGGGCTTACCGAGTACTGCATCGAATTTGACGCTATCACTGGTGACTGTATGGATGAGGCTCCTGCTCCTCTCGGGAAACCCAAGTTCAACCCCGACGAGTTCTTCTTTTTCTGGACATTTTCCGCGGCTGCGTCTACTATTGTTAGTGGGGGAGTTGCTGAAAGGGTGAGTTTCTTAATTTCATGGCGAGTGACGGAATCAGTGTTGTATTTTAGTAAAGAGATATACGTTATGATGAGTTTCCTCACTTTTTTAGGAATTTGCACCCACGAATTCGTGTAGAAATATTAAAAAATCAACAAGAAATTCCTCCAAAATTTTCTCGTAATTTTCATATTGTCATCAACACACGTTGGTGACCGTATGAATATTTTCTCACCCTGTTAATGACATCTATAGTATTCAGCTACATTGGGCGAAATTTGTCTTCTGTTCGACAAATTTGAACTTGCCTTTCCGAATTCATAAATTTCATTTATCTAATTACGAAAATCGAACTGTCATTTCGAATTTGAACTTTCATTTCGTGAGAAACTCCTTTGGCTCGTCGAAAATCAAATTTTTTTCGTCAAATTTCTTTTTTCAATTGCTGAATTTGAGATTGAAAAAGTGTAGACATATCTATAATATTATGAATATAAACTGCAAGTTTCCTCACTACATTGTACAAAAAAAGAAAAGTGTACAAAAATCAAGGAAAAATTTTCCAGAATTTCCTTATTTTCACCACTACATGTAGTTGACCATGTGCATATACTCCCCCTCAACACAGGACGATTTCATCTCAGGTTCGCTGTTCATCGTACTTTCTGTTCTCATCGGTTATGTCTGGTTTTATCTACCCCGTGCTCGTAGCCTGGCTCTGGAGCGGTCACGGTTGGCTCAGTAAACCCACAGATGGTTTAGATGCAACTTATTACGATTTTGCCGGTAATTTTATTTTCCGGAAAAAATTTTCTCGGAAAATTTTCTCTTCGGGCAGGTTCTGGAGTCGTTCATGTTACGGGAGGAATCGCCGCTTTGGTCGGCGCGAAAATTCTGGGCCCGAGAAAAGGGCGATTCGATGAGATGGTGGATCAAACAGAATTCATCCCACATTCGATACCGCTGATCGTTCTGGGTAATCCGAAGGTCCCTGGTTCGAACCCCACGGCCTGCATTTTTAAGGTACGATGATTTTATGGTTCGGTTGGATCGGCTTTAACGCTGGGTCTACCAGCAGTATGGTGTCCACAGTCGACGCTGATAAGGCTGCTCGCTCTGCTATGAACACAGTTCTTTCGGGGGCCTCAGGTGAGATGGATCGAAAAATAAAAAATGTAAAATTGAAGTTTTTTTCTTCTGAAAACTGCAAAAAGAGCCCCGCATCAAATCGCTTAGTGGGAAAAATCACTTGAGCAAACGAATTTTAGGATTTCATATTTCGCGTTTGTATGAAAAAATATAAATTTATACCGTAAAAATATTGCCGAAAATCTTAACCAGTTTTTATGAAAAAGATTGTATTTTCTTTGTTGTTGGATTTTACATTTTTCGCACATAGTAGATATGTGGTTGTGAATGTGTCGAGTTTGAAAATAGTTGTTGTGGATAGTTTGTAGTAGTTTTTATGAAAAACGTAAAAATCTTTGTAGAGGTGAGGCCTAGCATTTTGGCAAGAGGGCTATAGTTGTATTTATTTTTAGTATAATATTATAGATTCATTCAATGGAGTTTCGCCATCCTAGTGATATGAAAAATATATTTCACGACTACTGATGCATATCACCGCGAATAAAATCGCGTTTTCCACCGAGTTTTATGATGCCACTTCGCGTAAAACGGGTAGTCGTGAAAGTCCAGTGTTTGAAAAATTGAAGACAGCTATTCTTGATACAATCACCTCTATGGTGTTGGTGAAATTATTGTTGATTTCCGAACATGCTTACCATAATTTCTTCTTTGGACGCGGCTCGGCCGTGTAGACCCTATAGCCGCCAATTTGGGCATCGAGAGTAGTCATCCCTCGTTACATACCATAATTTCTACAACTCCCAAAGGGAAGCGAACATGTATCACTCTCAGGTGGATTCACCCTATTCGTGATCCGTCTCGTTTTCTTCAACATGTATGACGTCGCCGGTGTATGCAACGGTTGTCTTGCTGGTTTGGTAGGAATATTCGATTCCCGTCCGAATGGTGAAATTCAAAATGAGTGTGGGAAGATTCTCATTGATTCTATGTCACATTTTTACCCGAGTTTGTATGTAAATTTGTATAGTTAGTGAGGAAACTCTCGAAACATATATTCCTCCAACACTGAAGTTTGCGACCCGTTTTACGTGAACTCGGTGAAAAAGGCGATTCTATTCGCGGTGATATGCATCAGTAGTCGTGAAATATATTTTTCGTATCACGGCTGCCCGTGAAACTCCAATATTGAAGTCAGGTTTCCATCACGGCTGGGTCGGCTAACGTATCATCATTCAGCGCGTTAATCATCGGCATCATAGGAGGGTGTCTGTAAGAAAATTTCCCAGATCATAAATTTTCCTAAACTTTTTTTCTCAGTTACCAAACTGCTTCCCGAGTCGTTGCATCACGACACATCGACGATCCCATTGACGCGTTTGCTGTGCATGGTATGAGTGGAATTTGGGGAACTATAGCGTGCGTGCTGTTTGATAACGGCAGTGGCTTCAGGTGAGTATCATAATTTTTTATCATCGCAATTTTTCCGTTTTTTCAGTGTTTTTGGACCAGCAGGAATCACTCGTATCGGGCCGAACAACTACGAGGCTTCGGTAAACGTCGGGACGCAACTAGGGGTAATCTTCAGGTGACTTCCCTCGAATAAGTTTGTACGTTTTTCAGGTGAATCTTTTAGGATTGTTGATGATAATATTATGGTCAGCATCTTGGAGCGCTGCTGTATTCCTCGTATTTAGGAAGGTGAGTTTTTCCCATTTTTTGATCGCCAATTTTTGCTTCAGTTTGACCTTTTACACGCCACTGAGGAGAATGAAGTTTTCGCGCCCGACGATTATATGCAATTCTCATCGAGGAGGAAACCGGGGGCAGTTCATCCGGATGATGACGACTCTGATTATTCGGAAAGGAAATCGAACAAGTCGCATTTATCGAACAACTCCAACAGGAATAACAACAGTCGGGCGCTGAAGAGATCGTTGGACGGTTCGAGAGATGAGGTTGAGGAAGATGAAGATTAGCAGTGGAATTGACGCTTAGAAAAGATGTGAATACTATTACCATAATGTGAATGTTGTTATTCATGATGATTACAAGTTGTTGACAATACCAGAATATGCTTGCGTGAGAGTTTAAAGTCCAACAACACCTATCGATGCACGAGAGATCAGTTCTCTCTGACGCCCACAGGGCGAGGTAATTCCTTTCCCTCTCTGTTGATAGATGTGTCATTCGGAAGAACAATTAATTCCCTTCGATTGAGCTGAGAAAATAATATCTTTAAAAGTTGTTATCTGCACTCGACTCACACCCCTTACATGGATAACCGTTCCCTATACCACTACACCAACTGCTCTATACTGACTCAGTAAGGAGCAGTTGGTGTAGTGGTACTGAGTATTACTGAGTATACCCGTCGATTACACAAGGACTGTGGGTTGGATTCCCCTCTACTAACCCTATATACTACACCTTCGAGAGGAAGGAATGGAGTAACAATCGCGGGCTGAGCCCGCCGGGCTCGATCCTCAGCCCCGGCCCTTTTCGGTATCCTCATGTTATATACGGATCTTTTAAATACATGGTACATGTTATATTAGTAAATACCCCTTAAGAGATTTCCTTCCTATAAACACTTTTGCTAGTGAGTGATGGTTACGAAGTAATCAAGTTTAGTTACAAGACCAGAGTCAACGGTGCGGAAACAACCACACAAAAAAATCGAGAGCGCGGTAACTTGTGTCGTCGGCGAGCGAAGTAGACCGTTACAGTACGGCATATTTACGATTGCGAGAAACATCTAGGAGGCTTTTCGTAGCCTGTACTCCAGGCCAGTTGTGAGTAGCTCGTGGTACATGTATACCTTCCCCTCCGCAGTTGCGACGCGGGCTCGTTTATCTTCTCCATTTATTTAACCAATGGACGGTGCTCCTGATAGGAGCGGCAATATTGACATTCGCGTCGAAGACAACAATGGCGGCCACGATCTCGTCGGCGGCGACAACGGCAACCAACATGAAGCTGCGCGCGCAGCGCCTGTGCAGTTCTACCAACCGGACGAGGATGTGGTTGCCATGGTAAACGCTCTAGCCGCCTCCCCCGAGATCGCCGCTGAAGTCATCCACTCCCTGGGGAGCAATGGCCTGACTTCCCCGCAGCTGGTCGGCTCGTTGTCCTCGACTTCCGTGACAAGGGTAACTAATCATCTTTCCATCGCCGCGGCCGCCACACTTGAGTCCTTGGCTGAGGAACTAGGCGCCATAATCCGCAAGAGGCGTAAACTTCATGCCGAATCCGACGCTATCACCCAAAGGTCGACGGTGCAAGTTGAGGCTATAATCAACCATTCGATCAAGAACTACCACTCTCCCGTCCCACCAAGCCTCTTCTACGGAATCTCTTCCTCGGTCATCACCGCCGTCAGCAATACGAAGAATGGCTGCTATGTACCATTCAAGGATATCATGGAGAAGCCGGAGTTGCCTAGTGAGGGTCTGCCCGACTTCAAGCAGAAAAGACAGTCTTATGGCGGTCTCTCTACGAGCCCGGTGATGAAAGTTAAGTATCCGAATTCTAGTACGGAATGGTCCTTATGTTTGCTACGGTTCGTTCTACTCGTTGCTGGTACAGTAGACCCGAAGGTTCTCTCTCCGGTCGACATCCTAGCCTACAGCGCACGTATCCTAACCCTGGCGAGGTCTATGCCTTTGGTGACCATTCTCGTCTACGACGACCGCTATCGTCGCGGGGTGGCAGCTGTCATGGCTGCCAATGCCCAATTCTCATTGCACCAGTGCTTTCTGACCGGCACCAATCCGGCACTACTCGCCGAAGTCGTCAGTTCTTCACTGCGTTCCGCCAACCACATGAGAGCTCCTGCCGCGATTGGCAGTAGAGGTCGTAGTAGAGGCTCTACTGCGAGTCGCGGCGACTCGCAGCGGCGCAAGGCCTGTAGGAACTTCGCAGGAGGTACATGTACGTGGGGTGATAGGTGCAGGTACGCACACGATCTATCGGTTAAGCCCAACTCGAGCTCAACGGAGCATCCCCAGGCCGACTCGGCACGTAGCCGAAAGCGCCCCACCAAGCAGGCAGACAAGCCAAGTTCCTAATAGGAATTCCTATGCTGGGGGTAAGCCTGACCAATAATCACCGACTAGTTATCGGAGGCAATGTTGCCGTATCTCTCGTGTATCGTCTCTACTACGTAATAGAGTCTATGATGCATCGCGAGTCTGAGCATCATATGAGTTCGCTCTGAGTAGACGATCGTTCTAGTGGCTACGAAAGCCAGAATATTTATCGTTAATCAGCATTTCGTTAATGCTCAGGTGGTTGGTTTCCAGTGCGCTTACGTCCGTGGAATCGGAGCGTCGTGCTCCACGAGTAACTAGTCACAATGACAGCAAAAGGCCCTCAGTCGGTCAGCACGTCAGAGAACTGTTGATTGATGGCTCAAAGCTGAGGTGAGATATCAATGAGGCCCAAGGATATCGGGACGGGACCGGGTTGCTAGCGGCCCTACCGTCCGTAGCGACTACCGGAAAGTGTCCACAACTCTCCTTATGTCGAGTTCAGAGACACATCACGTTATAGGACAACCACATGTCACCAACACATCTGCATATTTTACCGCACCTCAATGTTGTATCGCATTCACCCTTTCTTACACATGCTTCGGGCAGTCATTGGTATCATATCAAACCCTTCCCGATCTGCTAGTATCAACTTCGACAATCTAAACAAAAACATAAAAATAATAACTGAAATAATAATAATTGAAATTCACCAATAAATTTCTCGGTTTCAAATCTCTATGGACGACTCCAGCTGAGTAAAAGTATCTGAAATTCATATCAATTACTCCTACACGAGTATTGATATATTACTTAACACCATGTAGCACTTGGTAGAGGAAAAAAATACATTGCTCTGAACGAAAAAAAAGCATTGGTTTTCACCCTAATGTTAGAATTTTCATAATAGAGCGAAAATTCTTCAAGGGAATTTTGGGGAACTAATGATAATTTTAACCTAAGTTATAAGAAAATTTTCAAGTAGAAATCCTTCAAGAAAAGTTCGGCAAATTGATGTTAATTTCACCCAAAATCATATGTGAATTTTCATAGGAAACAACAGTTTCTAGAATTACCTTTGTGAGATTTTGTTTCGTCTTCAGAAGCGCTCCTAGATCTGTTTCGAACAAATCGGTTACGATGCAGACGTGGGTGAAATCGTGGACTCCACCAAAAGTCATAATTGAATCTGCGGGAAAACTGTTATAATACTAATTTTAACCTCACTCAATTTCAACCTCACGACAGTGGAGTTTCATCCTAGTGATGTGAAGAACACTAGTGAAAAACATATCTCACGGCTACTGCATATCACCGCGAATAAAATCGCGTTTTTCACCGAGTTTTACGGCGCTTTGCGTAAAACGGGTTGTCGTGAAACTCCACTGTAATTCCACGTTTCCTGGGCCTCGTTAGCACGGCCTATGGCCGTGCTGGTTCCCCTCCGGTCTACAGTAGACCGGAGACCTTTAGTGTCACTGTTTATTACTGATATATCAAGTTCTCGTTGTAGTTTTTTTGGTTGAGGGTCGAAGGATGAAATCTAGGACAGTTCAGCAACATTAGCATTTGCTAAGCATTCGATCGCAGACATGTAGATCAACGAATTCTACGCATTCGGAGGTATGTTAGGGTTGGGACCCAACCGTTGGGTCGATTGCGGCAGGTCCTGGGAGCTTGATATTGGACAGGGGGCCGAAGGTCTGCGGAGATTCCATCTCAGACTCTTCCCAGAAGTTTACTCACTTTTGACCCGAAAACCACCCACGGGACCGGCCGCAACTATTGATAAGTGCGGTATTACGTAACTCGCATACGCTCTATGGCTCAGCAACCCCTTGCTGGGTGGGGAAGGCGGGGGTGAAGTATCTTATTTCCTTCCTTAAAGGGCCACCCGGGCTTTTGCTTACGTTCGACCCAGAATAGTAGACCCAGTTAACTAGAATACAAAGTGAAGTATAACTCGGCCAACTCTTTGTTGTAAACCTAGCCGATATTGTCACAATATCATTGTGCATCGCAGGAAGGTTTTCAGTCTTGACAACAAATAGGTTATGGAATATTTATCCATGTTTTGAGTTCCATTCATCGGCCATAGTACGACTTACGAGTGACTCACGACAGCCACGAAGCTTCTCCGTCAAAGAATCTCTGATAGGCGCGATGGTCGCCATTGGTGTAGAGTAGTATATATCAACTACCATTGCTGGTTAATTCATATTAACGTGGATGAGCAGCAGCTACGGCAGTCTCTGAAAGTCCCGTTTTATGAGATATCCCGTGATCATGATGAATCTTGATTTATGATTCGAATCTAGATATCCATGATAACTTATCCTGGACAAGTGATGTTGCGCAAAGAGGTACAATTCTTCCCACCAATCCGACTTCTCTATTCACCGTCGAAGAGGATCAGAGCCTCTGGTCCACAGCCTCTGGTCCACAGCCTCTGGTCCACAGCCTCTGGTCCAGAGGCCATGTTCGTCTCCAAATGCAGCGTTTAGTCCAACGCCGGCCCCGCATACGGCAGCAGCTATGCCAAATCTATTCGTCCCGTGAGCCCCATTCAATGGGGCCGTTATGCCAGCCACAAATTTGTCCGTGAGCCCCATTCAGTGGGGCCGTTATGCCAGCCACAAATTTGTCCGTGAGCCCCATTCACTGGGGCCGTTATGCCAGCCACAAATTTCTCCGTGAGCCCCATTCAATGGGGCCGTAATGCCAGCCACAAATTTCTTCGTGAGCCCCATTCAATGGGGCCGTAATGCCGGCCACAAATTTCTTCGTGAGCCCCATTCAATGGGGCCGTAATGCCAGCCACAAATTTCTCCGTGAGCCCCATTCAATGGGGCCGTTATGCCAGCCACAAATTTGTCCGTGAGCCCCATTCAATGGGGCCGTTATGCCAGCCGCAAATTTGTCCGTGAGCTCCATTGAATGGGGCCGTTATGCCAGCCACACATTCATCTGTGAGCCCCATTGAATGGGGCGGCGAAGTATGACTGCGTCCACTGTGGACGCACAGACACGCGCGACGCACAACGATATAGAATGCAGAACCATGCCAAGAATACCGACATAGTCGATTATATAACAGTGACCATGAGAGTAGTTATCAAAACAAGCAAATGCTTTTTGTATGCCGATGCAGCACACGTTGCATACATAAGACACTTGTCTCACACGAATGATTATGGTTTTTAATGCTGTGCGATCGCTGTCCTCACATCGCGTGTTTCGAAATTTGAAGATTCAAATTCAGCCAACTGTGTTTAGGTTAAATCCTGGGAAATACACAATGCGAAGATCATGAAATTGATAACTACTCCGAGAAAACTCGAAATAACGCTTGCGTATCATCGTCTGATCAGACCAGGGTCCAGGAAAGTATTTTCCGTCCTGCCCGAGCATGATTATCATGCCATGATATAACTGCAGGTTTCAGCCACACGTTTGGTGCGTGCCTACGAGTACGATCATACTAGAATGTCAGGAATTTACTTCCATACTATCATGTTAGTACGCTCGGCATTCTTATCGACACTACTCGCATATGTCGTGGCCTTCGATAGAGCTGCCACCAACCGTACGCTGGTCGCGATATCCTATCGTGGGACCCGACTCGACATCCGTCATGTACCGGATATGATGGCACAGGTCATCGCTGGTTCCGGTGGAGGGATATACACCCTCAGTCAAGACGACCGTGAGTGTGAGCGATGCTTCGCACAAGATGGCATGGTGTATGACTTGAAGGCGATAGGGATTCAGATTGTAGAGTCTGAATGCTCAGTTGGTCACAGTCAAATTCTGAACTACTTGAAGAAAGCCGAAGATGTGCTAGGTATTGAATTTCAGTGTGAGCCCGACTCTGAGGTAAGTCTAATCCCGGACCCCCCGTCGCATACAACTCAAGATTCTGCTAATTGTACTGGCGGCAATTCCGTTCTCGGCACCAACGACCCCGGCTCTTCCTGCCAGCGTAATCTCGAGATCATCCACATCGGTGCGGCCTGGCGAGCAGCTCGCTCGGCTGGACGTGAGCTGAAGGATGTCGTCTTAGCCATTAGTGACACCGGTGTTGACATGACTCATCCTGATCTGGTCAACCAATTCTGGAGGAACCCAGCGGACAACTCTATCGGTTACAACTTCATAACGAATACTACTAATGTTACTGATGGCGAAGGCCACGGTACTCACTGTGCTGGTAACGCGGCCGCTCAGACTAATAATAGCATCGGCATTGCAGGAGTGGCGAATATTAATGGGTCGGTGCCTCATGTGAAACTGATGATATTGAAGTTCCTTAGTGATACTGGAAGTGGCAGTATCAGTGACGAGATGAGGGCCCTCAATTTCGCAGTTGAGAATGGGGCTACCGTGTCCTCCCATTCATACGGCTCTGTTTCCACAAATGAAGTAGAGCGAACTGGTTTCAAGAACGCTGCTGCTGCTGGGCATGTTGCAGTTACTGCTGCCGGTAATCGAGGAAACAACTTGGACGATAGTCCATTTTATCCATGCTCCTTCGCGAAAGACTTCACACCTATGCTCTGCGTCGCTGCCAGTAAAACTGACCCAGTCGGGCACGTCTCTATGGCTGACTTTTCGAGTGCTGGCTCAGCTACGAAGATTGTCGCTCCCGGTGTTGATATCTACTCGACGATACCAGGAGGATCATATGACTATAAGAGTGGTACATCGATGTCGACCCCTACAGCTGCCGGTGTCGCGGCTTTGCTGGCTACTTTGGGTCTTAAAGGCCAGGATATAACGAACACGATCATCAATTCTAGGACCGCTGGCATAGACAATCCGTTCGGTCTATCTGATATAGGAGAAGTGGACGCTCTCAAGGCCGTTCAGCAGGCTCTAAGACAAGTTTCCAGCCGCTACTTTCGTGGTGAATAATCCCTCCCTTTAAAGTTAGTAACTTCAAGTTACGAGCTCCGAACATCATCGAGCCAACAAATCTTATCTTCATCTTTCAGTGACGTCTTTCGCTTCATTTTAAGACTTTTCCCTGTCGTTCTATCTCATCATTAAATCATTTAACAGATCGATAAGTTCCGTTGTTTGATCCGTTGTTGGATCTTTCTGCTCGGGTTGAATGTTTGTTGGAAATCTAGCCGATATTGTCACAATATCATTGTGCATCGCAGGAAGGTTTTCAGTCTTGACAACAAATAGGTTACGGAATATTTATCCATGTTTTGGGTTCCATTCATCGGCCATAGTACGACTTACGAGTGACTCACGACAGCCACGAAGCTTCTCCGTCCAAGAATCTCTGATAGGCGCGATGGTCGCCATTGGTGTAGAATAGTAATACTGCTGTAGTATAAATCAATTACTATTGCTGGTAACTTCATACCAACGCGGATGAGCAGCAGCTACTTCAATCTCTGAAACTCCCGTATTACGAGATATCCCGTGATCATGATTCGCTAGATATCCATTATAACTTATCCCGGATAAATGATCCGCAAAGAGGTACAATTCTTCCCAACAATCCGATTATCTATTCACCGTCGAAAAGGGTCAGAGCCTCTGGTCCAGAAGCCATGTTCGCATCCGATCATTTCTTGAATGGTGAGCAAGATATTAACACTAACCTCCATTCTCTCCAATCACTTCAAGTATGGTCGGCTGAGCCCTCAATTCTATGGATTCGGTCAAGATTCATCACGTTGTGTTAATTCGGGTTCTTGGCGCAAACCATCGTATAATACGGACCGGTTGAGTTCGCAATGGAATCTAGTGGGGAAAGTGTAACCTTTCTGGGAACATGGACTACTTCACGGGGTAATTGGGGACCCCCAATCACGACAATCCTAAATCACGGCATTGACTTGCCTATCTGAAGTGCATCGCTCAACCGACCTCCTCGTTCCTAAACCGCCACTTATGCACCTAATTGATTCCCCTACTTGTGCATGTAAGACCCCAATCCGTCACGAACCGCTGGCATAGCGGCCCCATCATCCGGACAGAATTCTGAATGGTTTAGTCCGCTGCATAGGGGCCCTATGATAGGGCAGCTATGTCAAATCCATTTGTCCAGTGAGCCCCATTGAATGGGGCCGCTATGCCAGCCGCACATCTGTCCGTGAGCCCCATTGAATGGGGCCGTTATGCCAGCCACACATTCGTCCGTGAGCCCCATTAAATGGGGCCGCGGAGTATTACTCAGTAAACGCGAGGTTTTTCCAAATGAAAGAGCCAAGTCCGTTATCAGACGAGACTTGTTCTCTTACCCTCAATCATAGCCGCTCGCTCACCTTTAAGAATCCAGACCTGCTGCTGCTGTTGATTCCGGTTTTGGAGTCCAACCTCAGGGAGCTTCAAGCCAATCCCCTACAAGGGGCGCCTCACAGATGATTTCCTTTTCTATTCTTCACGGAGCGACTCTCTCCCTGACCTGCGATGACTCCTGAGAACGCCTTATCCCGTCAATAACAGACCGAGCCGATCTTACCTGCTCTGACACTAGTAGTATGATACTAGTAGATACGCACCACGAGCACCACGTATAACACGATCGCGATAAGGATAAGTAATACAGCAGGACTCCACTGCGTGTGCATAGTGAGATGATTCGAGTTTGAGGATTGTTGTTGTGGAAAAAAGTAGTTTATAAAGAACGTAGATAGCGAGACCTTATGTGGATGTGGTCTAGCATTATGGTGAGATCGACGTAGTAATATTTATTTTTCGTATAATATCATTGATAAATTAAATGTTTACTAAATTGAAGACAGTCTGTCTGTATTATACAGATATTTGTGAGACAATCACCTCTACAGTGTTGGGGAAATTATTGTTGCTTTCTGAGCATTTCTACCATAATTTCTGCAATTAGTGAAGGAACTCCCGAGCTCAGCTGAGGAAAGCAAACATATCTTTCTTTCAGGTGGATTTACCCTATTCGTGATCCGTCTCGTTTTCTTCAACATGTATGACGTCGCCGGTGTATGCAACGGTTGCCTTGCTGGGTTGGTAAGAAGATTCTTCTCTCGGCCGAAGTGGGAATTTCAAAATCAGTGTGCGGGGGGAAAATATGCACATACGTTGGTGTACAATCCGGAAAATTCTCATGGATTCGTGTACATTTCTACCTGAATTCGTATGCGAACTCGTCCTATCAGTGAGGAAACTATCGAAACTTTCATTCCTCCAACACTGGAGTTTCACGCCCCGTTTCACGTGAAGTGGCCTAATACTCTGTGAAAAAGGCGATTCTATTCGCGGTGATATGCATCAGTAGTCGTGAAATATATTTTTCGTATCACGGCTGCCCGTGAAACTCCAATAGTCAAGTCAGGTTTCCATCACTGCTGGGTCGGCTAACGTATCATCATTCAGCGCGTTAATCATCGGCATCATAGGAGGGTGTCTGTAAGAAAATTTCCCAGATCATAAATTTTCCTAAACTTTTTTTCTCAGTTACCAGACTGCTTCCAGAGTCGTTGCATCACGACACATCGACGATCCCATTGATGCGTTTGCTGTGCACGGTATGAGTGGAATTTGGGGGACTATAGCGTGCGTGCTGTTTGATAACGGCAGTGGCTTCAGGTGAATACCATAATTTTTTATCATCGCAATTATTCCGTTTTTTCAGTGTTTTCGGACCAGCAGGAATCACTCGTATCGGGCCGAACAACTACGAGCCCTCGGTAAACGTCGGGACGCAACTAGGGGTAATCTTTAGGTGACTTCCGTCGAAAAAATTTGTATGTTTTTCAGGTGAATCTTTTGGGATTGTTGATGATAATATTATGGTCAGCATTTTGGAGCGCTGCTGTATTCCTCGTATTTAGGAAGGTGAGTTTTTTCCCCATTTTTTGATCGCCAATTTTTGATTCAGTTTGACCTTTTACACGCCACTGAGGAGAAAGAAGTTTTCGCGCCCGACGATTATATGCAATTCTCATCGAGGAGGAAACCGGAGGCGGTTCACCCGGATGATGACGACTCTGATTATTCGGAAAGGAAATCGAACAAGTCGCATTTATCGAACAACTCCAACAGGAATAGCAACAGTCGGGCGCTGAAGAGATCGTTGGATGGTTCGAGAGATGATGTTGAGGAAGATGAAGATTAGCGGTGGAATTGACGCTTAGAAAGGATGTGAATATTATTACCGTAATGTGAATGTTGTTATTCATGATGATTACAAGTTGTTGACAATACCAGAATATGCTTGTGTGAGAGTTTAAAGTCCAACAACACCTATCGATGCACGAGAGATCAGTTCATCCTCTCACCCCCACAGGGCGAGGTAATCCCCTCCCTCCCTGTTGATAGATGTGCCAATAGGAAGAACAATTAATTTTCTTCCGTTGAGCTAATAAAATAATATCTTTGAAGATCTTCATCGGTACTCGGGATCGAACTCACGGCCTCTACGTGAATAGCAGTTTCTTATACCACTACACCATCTATTCTATACTGACTCACTGAGGAGCAGTTGGTGTAGTGGTACTGAGTATTACTGAGTATACCCGTCGATTACACAAGGACTGTGGATTGGACTCCCCTCTACTAACCCTATATACTACACCTTCAAGAGGAAGGAATGGAGTAACAATCGCGGGTTCGATCCTCAGCCCCGGCCTTTTTCGATATCCTCATGTTACATACAGATCTTTTAAATACATGTTACATGTTATATTAGTAAATGCCTCATGAAAGATTTCCTTCCGGTAAACACTACTAAAACAACTCAACACAATTTAGTGACAATAATCTGGTCATTAATTATACATTAATTATTCCTTTGAATGTTCGTTACGGCTGCGGGGTCGATTCCCGGTACGGCTTTTTTCAACACGCTTGGCAAATTCGCATATTATACTACTCCTACTACTACAACAACTCAACATAATTTAGTGACAGTGAACTGGCAGTTATACGTTTATTATTTTCCTGATCGTTAACCCCCCGCCCTTCGACTTCCTCCTCATAATAATACACATTGACAAGACGAATGTATCTCTGTGTATCTCGTAAGCATTGGAAATTTCTCAGGGAATTTCAGCAAAAACATATAATAATACTTTGTAAAAGAGTTTCATATAACCTCGTATGAGAATTCCCATTTTCACTATATCATACCCATGGTAGTACAAGTGACCCGAAATGCGGATATTCGTTACAATTTCCCTCACACATAATCGTCGTAAATTCCATCATAAAACGCAACAAAAAACCACCCGTACTCTCCCAACACAATACAGCCATCCACAGAACAACATACTCTTCTGCACGCATGCACACAATCATATAAAACTTCATTTCTCCTACACCCCGACTCTGTCCACCCCAAAGGCTTCCCCAGGCTCCAACAAAGGGCACCGCGCGGCGATTTCAGCATCACTCACGAACTCCGCCGATTCGCTGTAAATCCGATACTCATTGGGATAATAACTAAACAAAACTCGCTTCGCTCCGCCTACCTCCCAATTTCTTTACCGAAGCATTTCTCTGTGAATGAGTTCTCTCAAACATGGTTGATCAACTTTTCTTCGCTCAAATTCAAACTCATCCACTGGTATGAGACCCCTCACCGGTTCGTCATCTTCTTGGTGAAAATTCTGGAAAAAAAATAAAATTTCCACAGAAAAAAATTTCAAAAAAAACATATTACTTTCATCAGCTCATGCTCGAGGGCTTCCTGCACACTTATTCGTTCACTAGGATCGAATTTTAGCATTTTTTCCATAATGTCAACCTCAGGGGGATACTAACAATAACAGAATCACCTATAGCAAACTGACTCCTATACTCTAGCTCGTGAAACGTATAAAATTTATTTCCCACTCGAAAAAAAACACATGGCGACCAAAAAATCACAAAAAAAATAATTTTTCCCTGGAATTTCACAAAATTCCCCATTCCTGCATATTACCTTTTCACAATTATAATAATATTTTATACCATAATTTCTTCCCATCCTCTCGAGCGTTTCCGAGAAAATTTCCATCAAGTTCATCGGCTGTAACCATTCACCGCCACACTCATGCACAACTTGTCGTAATCTATCACCAACATGAGAGGAAAAATTTTCGGAAATTTTTTTACTTTTCATTTCCCATAATTTTCACAACTTCTTCCGAAGGCACCCCAGTGAGCTCCACCGTCAATTCGAGCTGATGTGAATTATTTTCTCCCGCGAGTAATGGTCTGTGGAATGATAACACTGGAGTTTCACGACTACCCGTTTTACGTGAAGTGGCATCGTAAAACTCGGTGAAAAACGCGATGTTATTCGCGGTGATATGCAGTAGTCGTGAAATATGTTTTTCATATCACTAGGGTGGTGAAACTCCAATAATACAGCAAAATTACCGAGTTTTACTTTTTCGTGAGAATCTCCGCAAAAATACACCCAATGCTCCAAATATCAGCTGCTTTTCCATAATTTTTACAATCACATAAAATCTCCGGCGAGCGGTACCATCTGGTGCCTAGACAAGCAATTGAACACAACTACGGAATCAGCAACTGCACGAAATCTAAAGAGTTTGTTTCGTATCACCTAGAGCTTCTGAATGTGGGCCTTCATAACACTAATGTATTGCTTACATATGTTATTGATCAATTTCTCACGAAAAAAATTCATAAAAAATTTTTTGCACATTTTTCACAGTTGTGTTGGTCAACAAGAATAGAAGAGAAAATATCATTAACAAAAACCAACACCGCGGAAATTAACGCTGCTGCGGTAGCATAACAACAGGTTTATTACCAAATTCATTTCTGCTTAAAAAATCAAACAGTAGACATACATTCGCACTTAGTGATGGAATCAGTATACGCCACAACGAAAAAAATTAAATATATAATGGAGTTTCACGAGCAGCCGTGATATCAAAAACACTAGTGAAAAATGTATTCCACGACTACTGCATATCACCGCGAATATAACGTCACCTAAACGGGTGAAACTCCAATGAAATGAGTATAAACTAAATACTTAGTCGTTAGTCCTGCAAAAAAATGTTTGCTTTTCTCACATAGGAGTTTATATACGAATTGGAAGAATATACGAATACTGTATAGAAACTAACAAAATCTCCACAGAGTCTTAATATTGTCACCAACACATGTGCATATTCTACCACACTTCTAAACTGCATCGCATTCACCCGTTGTTACACATGCTGCGAGCGGTCATTGGTATCATATCAAACCCTTCGCGATCTGCTAGTATTAACTTTGACAATCTAAACAAAAACATAAAAATAATAATAATAATAATACCGAGAAAAAAATTCCCATTTTTACCCGAAATCGCATATTTTGAGGTCGCAGTTGAAATTGACCAATAAATTCCTCGGTTTCAAATCTCTATGGACGACTCCAGCTGAATGAAAATACCTGATATTTATACTCATTACTCCTACACGAATATTGATATATTACTTAACACCACGTAGCACTTGGTAAAGGAAGAATATACATTGCTCCTGAACGAAAAAAAAGGAAAAAATAGTATTGGTTTTCATCCTAATGTGAGAATTTTCATAATAGAGTGAAAATTCTGGAAGAAAATTTCGGGAAATTAATATTGATTTTTACCCAAAATTATAAGAAAATTTTCCTGAGAGCAAAATTTCTCCAAAGAAATTTTGGGAAATTAATATTAATTTTTACCCAAAATTATATGTAAATTTTCGTAATAGAATGAAAATTTAGGAAGGAAATTTTGGGAAATTAATGTTAAATTTTACCGAAAATTATAAGAAAATTTTCATAGGGAACAACAGTTTCTAGAACTACCAATGTGAGATTCTGATTGCTCTTCAGAACTGCTCCTAGATCTGTTTCGAACAGATCGGTTACGATGCAGACGTGGGTGAAATCGTGGACTCCACCAAAAGTCATAATCGAATCTGCGGGAAAACTTTTATAATACAAATTTTAACTTCAACATTGGAGTTTTACCGCCCTAGTGATATGAAAAACATATTTCACGACTACTGCATATCACTGCGAATGAAATCGCGTTTTTCATGGAGTTT